CAATTTTATTGTTCTTAAATGTAACGTTACTACATCAGTGACATAAAAAAACTCATCAAATTTAATATAAGAAGTTAGTTAAAAAAACAAAAAGTAGAGATAGATATTAATTTAAGGCCGTGAATAAGGTTCATAAATGTATGTTCAAAATTGTTTTTAGTCTTTTCATTTATAAAAAAGTCATAGAAGGTTAAAGCACAGTTTATTTAAAGGGATATTATAATTAATTACCACATGCCTAAGAACATTAATTAAATTTAAGTAATTAATTATTCGGCTTTGCTACTATTTGAGAAGTATATAAGGTACCTGTTACTATTAACATTAAGACATTTATAATTTTATAATCATCCTTGTTATTATATTTTAATATTGTTGTTTTAATGCATGTTTATCATTTATTTAGCCTAATAAAATTAGATTTTTTTAAAATGAGATCATTTTTAAAGTATAAAAGGAATGTTCAATAAAATTATAAGACCCTATCTTTGAATTGGGAATTGTATTTATTTATAATTTGCTTTCTTAGTTTTTAATTATATTTTCCTAGGCAACAAGCGTATAAGAAAAAACTACCAAAAATTATTAAAAAATGATAAAATTTACGGCGTATCAATGTATTATAGTTATATTGGAAATTGAATATAAAAATGGATAATAATAATTAGCTAATAAATCACTATCTTATACTGCCAGCAGTAAATTGTACTTATCCTACAGTTAACCATATTCTGTGACAATAGTACATATTATGGTCTACAAGTATGAGGTAGATGTAATAAATATTTTAAATCGTTGTAACTGTTTATTTCATTTTAAATAAATATTATATTTTTCAAGTTGACCATATGGTATGCTTCCAATTGCACATATGGCCGTTTTAAAAAAATAATTTATCATTTTAAAATAATTGTCTTATGATTACTTGTTAAATATGAAAACAATTCAGTGTAAAAAAAACTAAAAATTAAATTGTACCTAGATTCAGTTTTTATAAAAAAAATTTCCTACTTTTGTACAATTTATGATAAAATCTAATTAAATATTATTGTAATAAGCAAACTTGGTTTTTTTTCTTTTGAAGTATTTTCAAACTTAATCAAATAATTTGGTAATAAATTCTATCACATTTCATCACGATAATTTGCAATTCAATTATTTTCAATGCAAATAAAGGTAGCAATTGTAATACGAATATTAATTAATAACTTTGTAACAAAATTACAAACAATCTTATAATTACAATGTATCTATACCTTACTGACAATTAAATTGTTGATTGTTCTTGTTGCAAAGTATTATCAGTGAAATAAATAATAAATATATTAAATAGCATTATGATTTAAAAGAAATAAATTATTACTATATTAAAATATGTATTAATTATGTATAATTAAGGATAATATAAATCCCTCTAAAATATCGACAATAACTAAAAAATCAGTATTATCTACATAAATATTTATAAAAATAGTTTGATTTAATTTTTCTAACACCAAATTGAATAAAACTCATTTATTTTTCCACTAAACTTTAAATTAAATGTAAATAACAATAATAGGTAGGTATATCCATATATGTACAATGTACATATATGGATATATATATAAATTAGTTATTGTATTAAAATTTAAAACTATTAACTAATCTGATTTATATTTTCGTGTATTCTATGTAAGCAGTATTAAGCAAAATGTTATCTAAATAATTATTCAAATACAAATGTATTAGATAATTTAAAAACATTATGTTTTGGATACTTTCAAAGATAATGCAAATACTTATATGTATTATAGTATAATTTATAATAATTATAATATTATAGTAAATAAAAAATTATTTAATTTTTTTATTGTTTAGTAAGTTTAGATTATGTATGTCATATGTACCTCGCTATGTATAAAGGTTGAATACTTGAATAGGTACTTTATTATTGTAGTATATAGTATCATCTAAAATAATTTAGTTATTCTGTCATAAAATTTAGATTAAATATTATTCTATGACATACTAAATTCAATATTTATTTTCTTTAAATTATTTATTAATTTAACTTCCTTATAATTCGTATTATCTAATTTATAATACCTGCAACCATGATTAATTTAGCGAAATACAAATAACTATCAACTATCATCTGACATCTATGAAACAAGAAAAATTTTGAAATAAAATTTTAAAATTCTGGTATAAGTATATTAATATTTATTATAGTTATTTATTTTTATTTTTGATATTTACTATTATTTATTATTGCCGTAATCATATATTTATATACTTAAATTACTTATTAAGAAATTATTATATAATAATACAATAATGTATAAAATACTTTCTTCTATATAGTTCTGTATATGCTTTAGTTATAATACTTTTGAATTTATTCAGAATAAAATAAAATTTATAATCGGGTGACTTAAAGTACAAAACTAACTATTGTTTTTAATACTTGTGTATTTAAAATTATAAATCATAATATGTTTAGTCTTAAATAAGTCAAAAAATGGACAATTATTGAATTATTTTAACTATTATTTATTATGTTTGAAAAATTATTCGAATAAAATGTTTTCTAAATAATCATTAAGCACAATTTTATTCAAATTATGCCCTATTCTAGATGTAAATATTTAAAATTGTGTAACTATTTTATTTATTAATTACTATAATTTTTAGTTTTTAGGAATAACAATTTATTTCAATGCTTTTATGGTTAAAATTTTGTTTAGTCTTTATTTTATTCTGGACACATATTTTACCGTTCTCTCTTTCACTTGACAGTTAAAAGTGCAGTGTCTTCTAAATAGTAAATGACACAAAATGCCCATAATTGAATTATTTAATATCATCATATTTTGTTTTGTTCTTTTGTACTTATCAAAAAATAACTTAATTACAATTTTTACTTTACTCTAACAAAATATTTACGCTAGACGAATTTATATTTTATGTATATAATTATTTAATGTAAAATGTTCTGTTGTTTTCAACTGAAGACGAACATGACAAGTCAACTTTCTAAGTTTAATTTTGTCTAGGGCAACAGGTATGTATGTATCTTTAGAAGGTACACGTTTACACTCTTTTTCGATTTTAACTAAACACTTTCTCTTTGATCATCTATATCTATGCATAAAATTAATAACCACCATTTATTTTATGATTACACGTTCATATCGACATGTTGTAGTAGGTACTGTATAGTTTGATTTTACCTAATACCAAAACAATATGTATAAACGGGCAATACAAAGAAAATTATTCTGGAAAATTGAATACGCTGCAGTGTTACGCATTTAAAAATAAATAATAAAACTAACAATAACTGTAACTCTCGATTATTGTATTAAAAATGCCGTCAAAATGATAAAGTTTAAGTTTAGGTAATATTTGGAGAAAAATGGAATTTTAATTTTCGTTAATAACTGCGTACATATTTATTTTCTCAAACATTAAAATAGTTTTTTCATAAAAAAAAAAGTAGGTAGTTTAAAAGTGGCATAATATTTATAAGTGTATATAGAGTTTGAGATTAATTCCTTGAAATTTTTTAGATGTACCAGTTTTTTTAAAAATATTATTTTTTTTTGTTATTCAGTTAAGTACACTCAATTTATAAATTTAACCCCATTCCTCCAAAAACAACTCCTCTCAAAGAAAAAAATTAAAAATTAATGAAAAAAATAAATTTAAGTATGTTTCAGAGTCGGAAGATTCTTTATTTCAAATACTTATGAACAGCTTTTACGTATGATATGATATAACCAGTGAAATAGCCATGGGAGTTTGAGTGTAGTTACTCCCCCTCCCCCATTGATTTTTATTTATTCAGTAAACATATTATATTGAATGACTTTTTTTTGTTATACCATCCCTGATATATACCTAAACCTTAACCTCCCCTCCCCCATTCTAAAATTCTGGCTACGGCACTGGATATAACTATATCATTACAAACTTTACTAATTTCAATGTATTTTTAGAGATTGCCAGTATAGGCATTTATAATAACAATAGTAACCCCCTTGCAAAGTACGTTGTGCACCTATCAAACAATAAAACGTCGTGTGAGTGTCAGCAATGTGTTGGCGAGTGAGAGAAGATTTTTGAGATCATTAGCGTTTGGCGGCGGCCAAAGCTCACTGTAACTCTGGTAAAACCCGGCGTCGCCCCGCGTGTAATCGCGCCGCTTGGCGCATTGCAGGTGCCGGCGGGCCAATGGCTGGCTGCCAAGGTCCGTTTGCCCGCAAAAATCCGATATACCGTGGCGCGCAACGCGTCAACCCGAAAATATTGCGGTCGGGCGGCAGAGAGGTTACCTAATTGCCGCCGACAGACAATGATATTATACTAATACCTGTATTATAATGAAAAAAAAAAAAAAAAATTCAATAATAAACACAATAAAATCGTGTCATGAGTAATGTTGTTATCATCATCTGGTCGGATCCGGCAAACGATGAAAATTTTGTATGGCCATCAAATTGTGTAATGAAATTGGCTACGTAAAACTGTGTAGTCGAAAAAGGCGAAACAGTGAGCCGTAAATTAATTCATATGTGTCATCGCTGAGTAGTATAGACACTGTGGTGGTAAAAGTAGTAGTTTGTCGGAAGGTAGATGGAATACAATTTTATAATATGTGCGTGTTGTGTAGACGTGTAGTACAAAGTAGTAGAAGTAGCAGTAGTAGTAGTAGCAGTAGTAGTAGTAGTAGTAGTAGTAGTAGTAATAGTAGTAGTAGTAGTAGTAGTAGTAGTAGTAGTAGTAGTAGTAGTAGTAGTAGTAGTAGTAGTAGTAGTAGTAGTAGTAGTAGTAGTAGTTGTATTAGTGGTACGGTGTGTGTATGTGTGTTATTTCGTATTTATTTTCCTGCGCAGAGCCCGTACACAATATCCGGGGCGTACGAGAGCGCGCGCGCCGCCGGTGACGTCACGGCCGCCGTTAGTATCGCCCCGGTCGCACTCACACTTCTTCCACACACCCACCACGACGACCATCACCAGTTTTACACTGAACGCGGTTACTGGTACTACACAGTCTATCTTGCGCGCACTATCCCACTACACCAGTGCGACTTCAGACTACACATACAACGCTGCAGTGTTGCAGGTACTACTACAGTGGTTATATTTTCTCTCTTACACACACACGCGCGCGCGCCGGGTCGCATCGTATCGTTTTCAGTTGTTTTCCGTCGCCGCACGTTATTTATTTTTCGAATAAAAAACAGTATTCATTCCGTCGCGTCCGAAAGACGTTTAACGTTGCGATACGAGAAAGAGAGGCAGTCAGTCAGCCAGCCAACCAGCCAGCGACCGAGTGAGAGGCAACGGAGCGGTGTTCGGCGGCAACTATCCCGGCCGGCAGACCTGAGCATTTCATTGGAAACGCGGTTATCGCGGTATCCGTCGGAAGCGCGCGCGCGTTACTACTGAGTAACCACCGCCGCTTGTCCGGGTGACATACGCACCGCACACGCACTCACGCACACACACACACACACTCGCCGCGTCAGGAGCAACGCGTCGTATACCACGCCAAACGTGTCCGTTATTGAATTTCTCGTCGACGTAACACCGACAACATAACCAAAATGGTGAGTGACATCAATACAGTTTTTATTATTATTATTATAATTATTATTATTAGTGGTAGTAGTGATGGTATTATTCGTCACGATAACACTTGGGCGACCGCAAATTCGGTCAGTCGGTGTCCGTTAAAAAAAAAAATAAATAAATAAATAGCCGAAGGTGGCAGCGGCGGCGGCGGCGGTTATTGTTGCCCAGGCCGTTTATTTTTAGACTGACCGTTATGACTTTTTTTTCCGGTTTTCTCGTTACCGGGGTTTTGTGCTGTTTGTGGTCGTCGAAACGGTCCCAACTGCCATCGCCAAGGTGTCCAACATGGCGCCGCCGCCGTTGTCGTAATGCGTACCTCGTCGGCACGGCCGTTTCGAAAACATTTTTATTGTTTTCCCCTATAAATTTTCGTTCGGCCCAAACAATGACTGTGTTTTATATTTGTACGATCCGTCGTTGGCGGCGGCCTTGACCTTTGCGCGACGCAAAGATCTTGTTCTCGCGTAGGTAGGTATTTATCGTGGTTGGGTTTTTTTCACTCGTTTTAATTTAACAACGATGACGACGACAGCAACGGCGGTCGACGACGAGGTGGTTCTTTGTACAGTGTGCCGCACGGCGGTAGTAAAAAAATTCTCGTTTGTTTTGTAAATGTTTTAATCACTCATAACGTACGTTTCGTCGTCATTGTGCATTTTTATTATTTGACGCACGATGACGCGACGTACGTGTTGTATTAATTCCCCAGTCGTCGGCCGACCGGTGACAACGGTACACCAATCGTTTCAGTGTTGTTGGGGGAGGGGAAGATGCATTCAGGTGACGGGCTTCCCTGTCTTATGCAGCGGTTGTGGACATTCCCAAAATGTGGTGCCGGATCGGGTCACCGATAACTCGCGTACACGATATTTAATATTAATTGTGTGCCCTGTCGTGTGGTTAAACTAAAAGAAAAAAAATGAATAATATAATAATTATTAGCCAGCAATAAGGTACTTGGCAGCGGCTCGAATTTTTTCCTTATTTTTTTTATCGTTGCCCGTTCTGTTCCCCGCACCCAAACCATCGTTGCATTGCGTGACTTGCTCGCGTTAGTGTGTTGTAGTAGTAATGTAGTCCACCGTCAAAGGCTCTCGAACGCTATCTATCGCCTAACGTTTGCACGTTGTCAGTCCACCTCCTCTTCATCCAGTCACCTGATCGTTAAGCGGTCCCCTTTTTTACCTCCCGATAAAGCTTCCTTAGGATTTTATGCGCGTCCCTAGGGCGTTTCTTGTGCTCCCCTCCCTTACCTAGTTTAATTGTTTTTCGACTAAATTCTACACGGTGACGAAATTATGTCATACCTAACTATTGGATTAACGCTTTTTTTTAACTGATTTTTAGATGAGCTTTTGTAAATGGGTTTTGCATACCCGATTTTATGATTGATTGTAAAAATCTAGAATACTCAATTTTTTAAAACTACCTATTTTTTAATTTTAACAACTGGCAGTTATTAATGTATCTACTTTTTGATATAATTCTTCTAGTAACTACTCTTATCAGAAGTATTTTTATTATGATTAATTTTATTTATAAGTCTTATGAATAATATGTTCTATACTACATTCGATTTTAATTTCTAGTTGATTCGTTAGTACTTGGATTGATTATTTTTATGAAGGCCTTTAATAACTATTTTCTGGTTATAATTTTAATACTGATCTCCTAATTTAAAATTATCTCCTATGATTATTGGGATGTTTTACTTCTTAAAGGTTATGACCTTGGCTCCTTCACCTCATATGTATTTTCAATCTCTTGTTGTGTTTTGATTCTGTTGATTAAAAGTTTTCATTAATCTTAAAGCTCAACATCAGCTCATTTACTTTTAAAATGCTTACCTACTTATACCTATGCACTAAGTTCTATTTATTCTTCATACATAATTTACCTACCAAAAATTAAATCTACCTTGTTAACCATTTATAAGTTTTTAATTTTATTTCTTGAGTATGTCAATAAAATATTATCAGTGATAAATATGTAATATCAATAAAAATATTTTATTCATTTTGTTATGTTCCTAATATATGAAATCTGTTAGTAAAATGATTAGATATCATTAACCACTATTTTGATATCCTATCTATTGAAAAAAAAAATAGTCTTAATGATAACTTTATTAATTACAGTTAAATTGTATTTAAGTAAATATAAATATAATTTACCAAGCTGTTAATTAAATACTTGACAATTAACATTGTATGTACTTATTTGTTTTTTCATAAGTTTTATTGTGATAGTGCTAGGCATATTTTAGGAATGTTATTTAGCTCTTTTTGCACTTTAATAATAATAGCTATTTTACATTGTTATAAGTAAGCTAATCTAAACTACATTGATATTATTAATGCAAATGAAGCTATTGTCTAGACTAATCTGTTTTTATTATAGTGTGGCCTAGTTTATGAAGACCTACCTATGATTACTAGATATATTTTTAATTACATGATTCTCATGATTTAAAATATTAAAATTACCAATATGTAAAATATTGGTTATTATTATTTCTATTTACTGTTTTTTGTTATATAGTTATAATATTTAATTTTAATGTAGGTAGATAAACACAAAAATATGTTAAAACAAATTATTTAAATTAATAAAAAAAAATTTTCATTTTATCTCTTGGGTAAAAATGTTTTTAGTTTTCTCTACTCCCTTCTATTTATTAGATATGTATTGTGAATATTTACATAATAATATTATAATAGATGCCTATATTTCATTAAAAAAGACTTCCTGTATCTTAAGTTTATTTTTAAAATTGATATAATAAATTTAAGTAGGTCTTATATTATTTAATAGTTGATAGTGTTGATACCAAGACTAAATGTTTTAGTTTTAAGTTATATATTTTATTCTAGAGTTTTTAATTTAATTTTATAACTTATTAGTTATTACAATAATACATTTTCAATTATTTAGCATTATTAGGTGTTATTATATCTTCTTATATCTAATTTAAATTGAACATTGATAACAAATAATCTCAATAATTGTATTGCTAAAAAAAAAGCAAGAAAAAGTGTTTTGAAGGTTTTAGTAAATATTGTTTTTAAATATATTTCTGATTCTAAATTTTATTCCATGTAGGCTGATCAACTAACAGAAGAACAGATTGCCGAATTCAAAGAGGCATTTTCGCTATTCGACAAGGATGGAGATGGCACCATTACCACCAAAGAACTTGGAACCGTAATGAGGTCTTTAGGCCAAAATCCGACTGAAGCTGAACTCCAAGATATGATTAACGAGGTCGATGCTGATGGTAATAATACACTAGATAATTAATTCTTTTGTTGTATTTTTTTAACTAAATGTCAACATTTTTTATAGGCAACGGCACGATAGATTTCCCAGAGTTCTTGACTATGATGGCTCGCAAAATGAAGGATACCGATAGTGAGGAAGAAATTAGAGAGGCTTTCCGTGTATTTGATAAGGATGGAAATGGCTTTATTAGTGCAGCTGAGCTACGTCATGTGATGACTAACCTTGGAGAAAAGCTCACCGATGAAGAGGTTGATGAGATGATCAGGGAAGCTGACATTGATGGTGATGGTCAAGTCAACTATGAAGGTAATAAGTGGGAAGTTGGATAATCGTTTATAATATTATATTTTTTGTTACAAAATATGTTATTAAAATGGCTATAGACTATGAATGTGAAACTAGACTGCAGGAGAGGAATAGAAATGTGTAACGCTTATAAATTCTTAATGAATAGTATAAATATCACTACATAAGTATTAATAAATTTCATTAATTCATCCTATATTCTAGCCTATATAAAAGGAACTCATTTTTTACTTAAATGCTAAAATGTTCCAGCATCGCTGAGGAACAAAAATGCACAAGTTGGAAAGTTGGAATCACCTGTTCCACATAAACAATTGAAACCAAATATTTTAATTTTCATGCAATATTTATAAAGATTGATATAATATGTAATAATGTCATATCACTAAAATTGCAAAGACCATATAAAAGCATACAGCATTAATCGACTATAATGGATAATAGGATTTGTCAAAAATAAAGGGGATAAAAGATTGATTTTGAATGGTCTTAATACATTTTTGGTTACAAGTTAAGAATAAATTTTATTCCTATGGTTTCCAAACAATATTTAGCGGAAACATCAAACATATGTTTGGAAAAAATTTTATTGGAATGAGTGTTCTTTTTTTTTTTGAGGATCATAATATAATATGTATATAATAGTATAATTTATTAGAACAAAAAAAAAAAAAATTGTTTTCATACTGCCAAAGAAAATTATTTTAATGGATATGCACCTATTTAATAAGTCATAAAAAATATTTTACCATAAAGTGTAAAATAAACATTTAAATTCATCCAGTGGTTAAACTTTTAAAAGCTATTTATACCATACATTCAACATTGTCATATAAGTACAAACAATTTATCTAAATTCCAAATGTTAAAGTGTTTCTAATAACTTATATAATATTCTTTCATTAAATATTTTTATTGTTTTCTGAGGGTAGTAATGGTTTGAATATTATAAATATTTGTTTCGAAAAATTGTTTAGCCTTTAAAATATTCTTCTTCTTGTTTTAAATATATTTATTTATAGTAATAACCTATTGAGTGATATTTGCATCAAATTGTTGTATAATAATTAAACAATAGTTTCTGTTAAAACAATTTTACTTTTATATTTTAAATCTTGTTCAAAATCTTTTTTATAGACATTTGTATTCTATGTTAATAGAATCAACAATTTTGGTTATTTGACTAAAATTAAAATGTTACTTGATAACATAATTGTGTGTAGGTTTCTTATTATTTTTGTATTTTCATTAGTTTAGACAGTTTAAATTTAGATAGTATTCATCAACTCAATCAAATATTTTTATAATTAATAAATAAATTTCAATTGAGTTGACATAAATGCCTACTATACTAGACAAAATGTTCATAGCAATAGTAATTTACTCAAAGTATTGATAATATATTTTCTTAATAGTACCTATTAAATTTTAATTATTTTAATTAATTTAAATAGTAATTTAGATAAAAGATTGTTTTCAATTGCTTATAAATATATAAACATAGGTACTCCTGTTTTGGTAATTAAAAAATTAAATGTCATAATGTTTAGTATTTAACCATTAAATAAAATATTTTAATTCAGTGAAATATTATCTTCATTAGTTACCATTTAGAAATTTTTGAAATGTGTAGCCATTAGCATTTATTATTTAACTGACACAGATAGTTAGGTATTTTAGTTTTTTCTCTTTTTTAACTTTACAGATTTCCATACTTTAGCTCGGACCATATTTGTACGTACTGTGACTGTGGTCAGTGCTCATATCTATATTTGTGTTTAGTTTTTATTTTTATTTTTTAATTTTATGATAATTACACATGATATCTCAAATTCTTAAATTGTGACATACCATCATTAATGTGTTATCAGTATTTGATTCACATCATCAACCTTTAAATCCCGACTTATTATATAATATGTATGATCAATATTTTTATCATTTATACTATGATTCCATTTCTAGATATATTATGCATGTAAAAATAAATGATTGAAGTGAGAATTTAGATGTAGTTGTGTGTTTACGCATGAGTGTCATTTCTTTTTTAATAGATATTTCCTATTTATCTTTGTTTATTTTCCTTTGTTCCTTGGTTGTGTTTCTTTGTTTTTAGCATATATTTTATTGGTGAAAACCCGAATGCAAAAATACCTTTTGACAAAAAAACCTCAAAAGAATTCAAAAAGAAAAAAGAACACATAAAACCATCCATGCACCCCACTTCCTGTACTTTGGCAGTTAAACATTTTACAAAACTTTCTTTGTTTCTAATTTATTAGGTAGAATTTGGTAAATGATTGTAACCAACTATATTACTGATAAATGATAATTCATATACTTGTATTATACTTATGTAATTATTTGTATTTTGTTTCAGAGTTCGTGACCATGATGACTTCTAAGTGAAATGTGTTTCAATATTAATTATTATTATGTAATTTTTTATCATAATTTTTTTTTTTCAAAAAAAAAGGAAGAAATTAACCTGCATTTTTTTTTTTTTGTTCGAGTAAGCTTTAAAAAGATAATGTGATTATCAAGAAGTAAACAAAGATTAATTATCTTTTTACCACATGTGGAACTCTGTGAACTTTTTTTTGTGTTGAGATATTCGTTATACTATCATCTATATGGTTAATTTTTTTTTCAATTTCACCAAAATCAGTTCTTTTGTTTGGCAGTGAATCTGCCGTGTAAATTTTGTAAAAAAAAAAAAACAACTATCCGACGGCAACGTGTTTTTCTTTTTTAAATATTAAAATTTTTTCTTTTCAGTTTTTGCTAGTAATGTTTTCATCTTAACATATTATATTATTATATATACAATTATGGTAATATGATATAAAAATAATAATAATAATCTTAAGTATGAAAAATTATATTATAAATAATTTGTTGTTTTACACTTTAAAACATAATTTTAAAATCTTGTAATTTTTACGATTAATTATAATCTCCAGTGTTTTAGTAATTTATTATTATTATTATTATTATTATTATTATATAAATATTAATTATTAAATATTAGGGACGTTTTCACATTCCTCACTCACCGATAAAGTTACAATTTTTTTTTAACGAGCTATAATAAATCAATCAACAATATTCAAAACATTTTACATACTATTTTGGCATGATAATATTTATTAGCCTATTACAAATTATTGTAATTTTTTTTTTTATGATTATTATAATTTTTAAAAAGTATACAAAAAGACACACATTAAACGTTTTATTTCTTCACTTGTAAAAAGAGAATGGAAATTTTTTTATTTAATCCTCAATTATTTTCAAGTTTTATGGTAACATAACAATATGCACGTCTGCCACACACACATACACACACCCACATCCATTCGGTTAAATATAATATGTAAAGAATACACTGTATTGGTATATATGTTATATATACGAATACATCTAATATATTTTATTGTTACTATACCATTTCATGAGATAATTCTGTATACAGTTTATTTCATCTTAAACTTTGTGTAATTGTCGAAAATCAATGGTATAATATTTTGTGGTGTCGGACGTGAATAACTTAATTTTTTTTTATACATAAATACCTAATGTATTTGAAATAAAATTATTTATTAATATTTGTTTCTGCGGTGCATGGTGTATGTCAACATTTATTTGTTTTATTTAAAATAAAACGTCTTCATCTATAATGGAGAAACATGTTCAGATGAGAGAGAACACCAGTACAGATTTGCCACGTGTACCGGATGATTGCTGCCATTTACCGACTTGAGCTTATTCCATTATCTCTTCACCATCATCCTGCGCCTGCAGTATTTTAATAATTGTTAGTTTGACGCGTATTAGTGTATTAAATTTGAATTTTTTTCTTCGTATATATTATAATATGATATATATATATTTTTTATTTATTTATTTACTAGGTTATTTTATATTTTAATCTGTTTTACTAGACTTTTGTTTGATAACCGCAGTTGTCCTACTTTTTGTCTAATAAACACATTTTATCATTGTTTACTTGTTTTTGGAATGATATAATAGTTAATTAAACACCTTTGTTGTTGTTAATGAAAAAGTAATTAATGTATTGGAGTTTTCAAAGGAAAATTTAAATAGCCGGCAAGTGACCAACTGAATGCATATTATGCTGTTAGTGATGAAATATACTGGTTACTGTATTTTGATCAGCACTACAATATATTATTACCAATGTAAGAATTCTAAAAGTGGAATTGGGAAAGAAATTGTTCAAAACATAACATTTTGAGACGAGTATGATGATTGGTAATAATTGAAATTAATATACCTCTGGCTGTAAAATCTTTTTCGAATTGAAATCATTTTTGCTATTTATCCTACAAATTATTGAGCAGATTTTTTAAAATATTGATATAAATATCTAAATTAAAATTTGTAAAGTTAATTTTTGAATTATTTAACAGTGTGCTATTGATAATATAAGTTTAGTTGATGTGGGGCTATGAAGATTTAAAAACTATATTAATATTATAGGTTATTTAAATTATCTGAATAATTATAAATTATAATAACTATCAGAAGATTCAATGTATTATTTCTTTATATTTTTAAGGACCTATCATTAGTACATACAATTTATTAACTCAGAAAAAACTGGAATTATGATTTAAATAATATATTTTCAAAAACAACTTGCAGTAAAAAATGTTTTTATTTGGAAAATAAGTTTTATCATTTGTAATACTTAAACAGTATAAAAAGGTCAAATTTTAATAAATGTATTATTATAATAAATGTGGGAGAAGAACTCACTTATTAAATCACTAAGAATATATGAAAATAGAATTTATAAATCCCTTATCAGCTACCATAGAAAAGTTTTGACCATAAAACTAAAATGTTTTTTACATTTAATACACATACTTATTTTATTATTCCTATAATGACGTCTTATACTTATCCATTTTTTAACTTATCTTTTAGAACAAAACTTGTTTTCATTTCCATAACTAGGTACTTAATAAAACGATTATCGCTTAAAAAAGTTCCAATTAAAAACATCAAGAATTTATTAATAACCAGGGTTGGAATTTTATGGCATTTGCATATTTCTCATGAGATACTTAAAATATAGCAAAGTAAACTAAAAATGTGTTTCATGATATAGATCACTCAAATTAAAAATTTTATTTTTTAATTTTTAGTTCTTTTTTTTGGACTTTTTGAGAATTGTATTTTTACTTGTTTTTGAATCAAAATCAGTTGTGTTTAATGAAATTATATTTTAGTAAAACGTGTTTTTAGATTTTTGTCAATCGGTTTATCAAATAAATTATAAATTTTTAAATTAAGTAAATAGATCGATTACGCTAATGTAACTATACAATTATAGCGGCAATATGATGTATAATATTACGATAATTTCGTATTAAGTATTTGGTTTTAATTTTTGTTATTAACTGATTTAATTGAGTTTTTTTGTCAATTTCTACTGTACGATTTCCTTTTATGCATATTTTGTTGTTTATATTGCATATGTTTAGCGATTATATTTAAGATAATATTATAGTGCATATTTATACAATTTAAGTGCTGTAAAATCGCTATCCTGTTAATGATAAATAATAAATATTAATCAATTACTATAACAAAACTTACCTAATACTCATAAATACCAATTAACCAATTTATACATAATATTTAAAGTATTTTAAGATATAAATATTAACTTATTCTACTTCAATGCCTTCTAACATCTAGTTTCTATACTTACATTAATTATGAAAGTTTCTTGATAATTCTTATACTAAAGATAAATTTTTTTTTTTTTTTTTGCTTCATATTCTATTGAAAGTTATAATAAATTAATCTAATTTACTTTAAAGTTACTAAAAAAATATATATATGTATGTGATTTGTTATTAGTAATAATTAGTACAATCTACCGTACTCGTATAACTTTTAGAAAAATAAAATACTAATTGCATTGGTTTTAAAACAGCTTTTTTTTTTTTAATTTGAGATAGGTACCTCAATAATAATTTAAAAAAAATAACATAGGTAATATTCTTTTTGTTTATTGATTATTGTAATAACTAACACTTGATAGATACATTTAAATAATAATAAAAAAACCTTAGGAAGCGAAAAAATTAAAAATATACTAAATATCCTAATTTAGAAAATTATTAACTAAAAAACAGCTACAAATCTTTAATATCTTTTATTATTAAATATAAAATAATCCTATGAATCAGGAAACAATTTTAATTTAGTATTAATTAAAAGATTCGTTTCTGATTGAAATTAACATTACTAGAGATCGTGTTATAAAAATGTTTAAGCAACCAAAGACTAATAATTAATAGGTACTTACCTAATCTACGTTCTAAACAAGGTGTGATTAATATAGTAACAATTTAAATAGTGGTCATTTATATAATCGCACCGTCCGACAGACCATATATCTAAAACAACGCGTGGTATTTATTTCACGCGATAATAATAACTATAATGAAAGATTGATTTAATGTATAAGTTACTAAAGTATATTTATAAAAAGGTTACAAGTTTCTTTAAATGTTAATATATATATACAGTCGACTCTCGATAATTCGGAATTGACGGGACTGTTGAAAAACTTTGAATTACCGAGAGTTCGAATTGTTGAGTAGTTCAAAATAACGAGAGGGCAAAAAAAATTTGAATTATAGAGAGTTAAGAAAAAAATTTTATTTTTTATTATTGTACATACATACATATTAGTTATTTAAGTAAATTAGGTGATACATACATATTACAGTTATTTATTGTTAATTTTATTATTATTATAAAAGATTATTATTTTTTGAAGAAATCTGCAATGGTTTTCTGCTTCATTGAATTTAGTTTCATTTTTTCAAAAATAAAACTACATTCGGCTGACGGCTATCAACGACTCGACGAGTTAAATAAAGTTACGATTAGAGACGATTAAGAAATAAAACGATAAGGTTCTAACGATATTATTCTATAGTTATCAACAATAATAATCTAAATTTATACACAATTGTATAGTAAATTATTAATAAAAAGATTATAAGAATACAGATAAAATACATTTGGTGAATATATTATGTACTTCGAATTTCCGAGCATTGAACGAATGATACTTCGAATTGTCAAGTGTTAGTGGCCAGTTTTCCCAAAATTTAATTTCGAATTACCGAGTGTACTTAATTGCATTGTTTTTATTCGAATTATTGCGTGATTTTCAAGGGGCCGAGCATTTACTTCGAATTATCGAGAGTCGACTGTATTTTTTTTTTTTTATAACATTAAAATTTGTTTCCGGGTAGTTAATAGGAATGACAAATTTTAAAAATGTACCTAGGTACCTATATAAAATAGCAAACATAAATAATACTAAGTAGGTACCTACTCTGTTATTTAAAGTTTTAACAAATGTGTTATTGTCGATTTTGATGTAAGAAATCAAATAAATAATAAATATGTAAATAAAATTGAATAGATTGTGAACCAGAAGTAGGTAGGTAGGTATCTACCAAGTAGATATTTGTTTGAACGCGGTTGACTTCCTGCCGAATTGATTAATTGCCAAAGGCTTTCTATGTCGCGGAATGTTCGCGGCTCGTCAATTCACTTCCACGGCGTGCATAAGCTGGCCGGTGTCCACGGCTTTCATTCTGCCTGGACTTTCGGTCTTTTTCCAACGGTCGAATTTGGCGGCTCACTTGAGTCGCCTGTTCGC